ACCATTGCCAATTGGAAGCCGTGTGTTCTCGTTTTGTGGGTTGAAGGTGCAGTTTTCATCTGGATCTTGAAGAGAAGGTGAAGATCGAATTTTTATGCATTATGTCATTTGGGTTTAACATTCTGCGGCTTCATTTAATAGCCATCCAAAGAGAAATTCGGTGCGTGTTTTAACGTGGCCGGTGATCTTACCTTCCTCCTCTTCTCAAAAAGAAAACTGAGCGTCATCGCACTTTAATTTTAAAGCGGCTGCAAAGGGTAACAGCTTAAAAAAGATACCAATTTATAAGATAGAAAACTTAATGCTGTCGGAATAATGGTGACCAATGATAGTACGTATCTGCGAAGACAGACGCAATCAGTTTTGACGGGAAGATTACCGCAAGCAAGAAAGAGCATCGCGTCAGTAATCTCTTTAAAGATCCACGTTGACCTCTCGGATTTATTAAATAAAACTCCAACCCATTTCACTATTTACTCAGGCACACAGTTTTATCGTTCCAGGACTACTTGCAGTTAGGGAAAGTCAACTTCCCACTTATCATCCAAGGTAAAAATTCATAATTTTTCAAAATTTGCAAAGTTTAGATCATTAGCTATCATTAGCTGAGAGCTCGTTGCGAACTTCATTCAAACAAAATTCCAGAAAAAAGTGTTATTTCTGCGAAATTTAATTGTTGACAAGTTCTGTCACACATTTCACTGATAGCAGTCAAATGCTAATCACGCAATTCACCCGGGCGGGGCAATTCACTGCTATCTACAAGAAATCGTGTTCCACAGGGTCTTTCTTTTTTAAAAATGGTTGAGAATGTCTCCAAGAAATGAGAAAAGATTTTGTTTGACGAGTTTGTTTTTGCCCTCCACATCAAGATTTAAAAAATGACTGCTCCGATCCAACTGTTTCAAAACCGTAAAAGGTAGCCTACCGTCTCCCGCGTTTCGTAGCTTTTTGTCCTAGTACCGGAAAACGCGTGCATGATTGTCAGCCTAATCAGTATTTTCAAGTAGCTTTGAACACAAGGATACTTAATGGTTACACAAAATACTTTTTTGCGCGCCATTTCTGGAACGAGTTAGCATTTCGGATTTTTAGAAGAAATTAGCCGTAATCTGGAACTTTTAGGCTTACAGAAATGTACGGTTTGTAGGGGTTATTATTAAATACATGCGCTAGCGAGATCTGCGCGAAGTTTGTACCGAAGGTCGGAATGATACCTTAAGGTGTTTCAATACAGTTTTTCGGAGATTTAATCGCCTTTAAAATGATTTTGTTCTTGTCCGATCGCTACAAACTTTTCATCAGTGATTGACTGTGAATTGGAGTTTGTCAAAATGCAGTTGTCAGTAAAATCTATATCATTATGACAACAATAAACAAAAAACTTTGAAATCGATAAAATCCGAATTTTGTGCGATCTAGCTCTGCTACTGAAAATCCGATTCCAGGAACTCACATTACGGCATAACTAGATTTGTCTATAACATTCTCTTAAATATGTATTCACATACGAAATGTAGCGTAAAATTTGGGAACAAAATAACTGATTATTTTACCTATGGAAGAGGTGTACGACAAGGATGTGTCCTTCCCCTCTGCTATTCAATCTATATTTGAATGAAATTCCCAGTGTATAAATATTAAAAGCATGCAATTCTTATGACCCTATTATTCTCCCAAATGGTTCACCACTAAGCTGCTTATTCTATGCTGACGATGTAGTTTTATTCTAAAGCAGTGCTACTGGTCTTCAAACAAACCTAATTATCTTTCACCAATGCTGCAAAAACTGGAAACTCTTCATAAATCTCAAAAATACAAAAAACATTGATATTTGAGAAACGATGCCGCAAATCAACGCTTGAGAAATATTCCTTTTTTATTGATAATGACCCTATTGAAATTTCACAAGACTATTCCTATTTAGGACTTTCCTTTTGTACTAATGGTAACTTCTCAAATTCAAAGCGAATACTGCTCGAAAAATGTAGACGCTGTGTTTTTGCGACAAAAAGTTTTCTTGACTTCCAAAAATTATCAATTGACTCTTGCAACAAACTTTTTAAGACACTGTTCAAACCTATATTATTGTGTACCTCAGAAATATGGGGTGCGTATGACAAACTGAATCTTGATAAATGGGAACAGGAGAAAGATTACACTGCCAATTTTAATAATACTTTCTGGGATTAAACAAAAGGATTCCCAATTGTCGCTCGAGACGAAGTTGGGCAAACATCTTTAAAACCTGCAGTTTATTTGAATATCCTAAAGTTCTGGCAACATTTAGAAGAACTACCCGAGAACAGCATTGCGAAGCAGTGCTTCATCATATCAAAAGAATTAGCAAATACAGGAAATCATTTCTTTATCTCTTCTGCATACCAAATACGCTCTCAGTTTTGCAAAAAAGGAACGAACACAATAGCACTTGATGATATTCAACAAAAAAATAAATTAGAGATATCTAAATGAACACAAAATATTCTTAAAGTAGCTAAGACACATCAATCCTCTCTCATTCAACTAAAAAAGAAACTAAAATTTTGCTCTCTTTTCAAACAACAACAAATCTCTTTACTTGGACCTCATAAAAAACACAAATCACCGACGCTCAGTGGCAAAATTTAGAACAAGCAATCATAAATTAACAAGAGCGCTCTAAAAGCGTTTAAGTCTCGCTTGCTTTGAGATAGATAACAAGTGAGGAGGGCAATGCTTAGAGTCACAGCAGTTCTTTTCTCTGGGTCAGCAGTAATTTTTAACTTGACGACCTTTTGCGTCCGTGAAAACAGTATTTCCTTTTTCCGAACACAGAAATCTTGTTATTATTAGAAGATGAATTCGTTGAGCTTTGAGCTGTCTATAAACAGCTCTATTACTAACGCTTAATTTCCGGTTTGCCGGATACTACCCTGGTGCCTTGTGCATATTATAGTGATATCAATTGATGTGCCACCGAGTTATCAGTGGGTCGTGAAAACTCAGAAAATAGCATTTGTGTTCGGAAAACCTTGTTACTTTGATTAACATCTACCATCATATTCAGTAAAATTAATAAAATATCACTTAACTACTACAATACAATACAATACAATACAATAAGAGTTTATTGTGAAAATACACTTAGCTACAATAAAGGTGTGCTTTCACAGACGGGACCGAAATCGGGGTCTGTGAAAGCACGCCAGCTAATTTACAGGTATTCCACAAACACAATAAAATTAAGAGTTAAAAAACTAGATATGGAATATTCTATAATTAAAATTATAACAATAAAATCTTAATAAGTATATCTTATATCTAAATAAATACTAAATTCAATAAAAAAGCGTCGAAATTATAAAAATTGCACTAGGTCAACTTGGCTAATGGATCCCTTAAAAGACTTAAAATTCGTTATATTTCTAAACATGTTTGGAATTGAATTCCAAAGTTTCGGACCAATTTAGCGGACTGAGTTCAAGCCATATGTAGTAGACTTTGGCTTGGGTAGCGAGAGGATATAGTTACCTCTTAAATTGTAGCTAACGTTCTTCCTATGAACTATCAGATCTTGTATACTTTTGGGCGCTAAAGAATTGTGGACGGCATTAAAAATAGACAGTGTGATTTTAATTAATCTTTGTTGTTTTAAAGATGAGAGGCCTAATGCCTTGAGAAGTTCCGAGTAGCTTGTGTACTTATCCCTGAAAACAAACCTGATCGCGCGCTCATTTAACCTTTCCAATTTGTCTGCAGCACTTTTACTACAAAAATTCCACGTTTCACTGCAATAATTGAAGTGGGGAAGGATAAATGCTAAATATAGGTCGCGCCTTGTTTCGAAGGGAAGCATTTTCTTCATTCTTTTAAGAACAGCTATTTGCTGTGAAACTTTCCTACATATTTTAGCAACATGATTGTCAAACTTCAGTTTGTTATCTATCGTTATGCCAAGCATCTCAAATTCTTTAGTCACTGGGATACTGGAATTTTCACACTTGAAATCAAGTGTGGCGTCAGATTTTCCCATCACAATAGCTTGATACTTAGGGCCTCTTTACATGGAGTGGGGGGCCCCGGTCTAGTGGGGTTGGTTTCTTTTGTTTTCACGCTCTGGGGGACACAAAACAAAAGAAACCTACCCCACTAGACCGGGGTCCCCCACTCCATGTAAACAGGGTCTTAGAATTGTTCCTTTTCAGACCGTTCTCATCATACCATTTATCAACAAGCTCGAGATCAGAGTTTATAGCACTCTCAACTTCTCTATAGTCATTATGAGCAAAGAAAATTTGCGTGTCGTCTGCGTAGCTAGAGAGTTTACATCTTTTCACGATGAACAGGAGATCGTTGATGAAAATATTAAATATCAAAGGCCCGAGGATTGATCCTTGGGTAATCCCTCTGGAAATATAATTCCAGCTCGAATATTCTCCAGCTACTTTCACTCGTTGTTGGCGATCAGAGAAATAATCCTCAATGATATTAGCAGTTCTCTCGTCAGCACCATATTCTTTGAACTTCTTCACAATGAGATCGTGTGGTAGAGAGTCGAAGGCCTTCGACAAGTCCATAGACACAAGGCCAATTATTTTCCGATCGTCCAGCTCCTTTCGCCATTCCTCCGTAAGACTGAGCAGGGCCGTATCACAACCGTGATGCTTTCTATAAGCGAACACGAACTTGTGGAGAATATTTCTGAACCGGGGACTGACTCTTGAATGAACGAGCGTTTCAAAGACTTTTGACAAAGATGGAAGAATGGTGAGAGGTCTGTAATTATCCTTGGACAGGCTGCAGTCTTTCTTATACACAGGAGTTATTTCGCTCTTTTTCCACTGTTTAGGGATTTTTCCAACGTCCAGAATTTAATTAAAGAGAGTGCAGTACGGCTCACACAACACTTCGGCAGAATCTTTCACTGCCCTCGTGGGAATAAGATCATGGCCAATGGCTTTATTTGTTTTCATGTTACTCATGATTTCCTTCACTTCTACGGGATTAGTATAATTTAGGGTGATCTGGCCGCTGGCGGAGTCGTGTGGAAAATGTGTGAAATCCTTCATGCGTTCAGTTGTTTTATCAGTGCCAACAATGTTTGAAAAGAAATCGTTCAAAGTTTCTGCAACTTCACGTGGCTCCCGCATTATCTGATCGTTCTCCTTAAGAACAATACGGCTATTGTTCTTTTTCTTACGTGAATTAATATACAGTCTAATTGTGTTCCAGAATTTTCTTTGACCTGCGTATTTCTCCTTACAAAGTGTTTTGAAGTGGCCCTGTACAGCTTTTCTTCTCATACTGACAACTTTGTTTCTTAAGACACGATATTTTTCCCACTCGAGAAGATTCCTGGATCTGTTTTTTTGGCCAAATATCAGTTAACTTCTAACTCCATTGGCACCCTCTTTACGTTCCTGGAGTCGGATTTTAAGTAGCAGGTCTAGAACGCGCAAAATTCCGGCGGATTTTATCGATTTCAAAGTTTTTTGTTTATTGTTGTCATAGTGATATCGATTTTACTAACAGCTGCATTTTGACAAACTTCAATTCAAAGCCAATCACTGGTGAAAATTTTGAAGCGATCGCGTTTGCCTTTAATTGTCTTAATTTCTCTTCTCACGTCTGGTTTTTAACAGAATTGAAGCAGAAAGTTGTTCTCCATACGATTCATTTTAGAGCCCTCTGACGATTTAGAAGCCGCTCATCTCTGTGTTGTGCTTCCAACGTGCAGTTTAACAGAATATTTAAGAGAAGGTAAAGTTGTCAGTTTTTGAAATGGAACCCCCCTATGCATTTCAAGATTCGTGTGTAGGAACTAGGGAGCTCTCACACACCCCTGGCACTCAAAGTAAGGTTAAAAGTGCTGCATTTAAGTGCCAGACATAAACGGCTAAGTCTGTCAGCCAAGAAAAAAAATGATAAATCAACGAATCAAGGAAAACGCAATGACGGCGACAGATACAATTTCAGATTTAGGATTAATTATGACTCCTTGATTCAAAGCAAGGGGGAATTCACATAATCATAATTTTAGGAACCTTTAAATTAAATATTACAGACACTCCTTATAGTTAGCGTATCAAACTTCGTCAATCATCATTATTGAGCATTTTGGAAGATAAAAGAGCTCTTGTGTCTTGCATTCTTTTGTGTTCTGAACTGCGACGTTCGATCACCCTTACTCCGCATGATTAAGCTTGATTACTCACTTAATTATGGTCTAGTAGGGTTAAAGGCAACACAAAAGGGCAGTCTTAAACCAATATTTTGGAGTTCCAGCAAACTTGGAAACCTTGAAACTTTATTCATTTCTCAGGACAACTCATACCTTGCCTGGCTAATCACCACCCAATGGCATTGCAGCCGTTTAGCGACGAACAGTTAAATTTCTTCAAGTTTGCGTCCTTGGTGTTAAATGAATTCCCCAAAGCCTTACGGCAGACCTTCAAAACCATGTGGGACAACACCTATGGACATCGCCCTGGTTTCCAGTTCTGGGATGATTCCTCTGCTGTCAGAAAAATGTTCGACTCTGAAGAAGCAAAAAGCGGCAAGAAGACTAAAGTTCCTGTTCTTCAGTCTTACAACGAATGGGATTGTACCAACCTGTTCCAGGCTACTATATTTGCGCGGTCTTTTGCCTCAGTGATTGCCTCATCAGCCAGTACAGGCTCTTACACGACACTCAGTGATTTGTACGTGAAGCGCTGTGTAGTACCTTATGGTAGTTTTCACGCATGTGTGGTCAGCCCTGGTGGAAACAATGAGGAGACCTTTGCACTTGCAATTGATCAGCTTCGTCGTCTTAGAAATTCGCTCTGTCACTCCACCAGTGATGAGATGGACAAAGCGACGTTTGACCAGCGCGCGAATTACGCCAAAGTTGCGTTTCAAGCCCTCGGTGTTCCAACAGCTCCAATCGACGCACTTAGTAGTTTGACGGAGTCGGACTTCCCCACAAATAAGGTTTGTCAATTGGAAAAGAGAATAAAAGAAGAGACTCGGGAATACAGCAAGTTCCTTGAGGAAATGAGTTCAGATGTCATAGAGATGAAGACGCTGTTGAATGCTATTAAGCAAACTGCTGACAATACCGCTAACAAAGAAGACATCGCTATGTTAGAGCAGAAGATTGCTAAGTTGCAAGTAACCCAACTTGAAAGTGAATCTAAATTGAAGTCTACAGGTAGGTTAACTTTTTAATGGACGACCAGGGCACTGATATTTTTTTCAGGGTTAATAAAGCGATCAAAGTACAATAGCGTGTTAGGAAAAAAATTGAGTCCAATGATACCACTCTTATCGCAAGTGGCGCAAGATCAAAGTGAAGAAGACAGGTATATGTTAACTTCTTTCTATGTCACTCGATCGGTAGGCATAAACAAAAGGAAGAGTTGTGAGTTACAGAAACGAATAGCGGTTTGGTAAAGGACTACGAATTTTATTTTGCTTTTATGTCACTTTTAAAAATACGAAAACAGATTTTTACTTTTACAGGTTTGAGACCATCGCTATCCATACCTTCTCTTCCTGCAATGGTTCCTTATTTTACTGGACGTCAAAGCGAATGCGAGGAGATTACGGGCTATGTGACTTCTGAATCTACTCGGCTCGTGTCGATCTGGGGTTCACCTGGATTCGGAAAAACATCGGTTGCGATTGCGGTGGGACACGATCTCCAGTCTAAAGGCCTACCGGTCTGTTGGCTTTCATTACGTGAACTGAAGTCCAAAACAGATCTGACTTCAAAGCTTCTAAGCTTTGTTAAGCCATCTGTCAGAGATGACCATCCATCCTTTTCGCATCCATCCCTTGATGATCAGCTTTGCCTTCTTTTAAGCGAAATTTCCCATCGATCTATTTTCATTCTTGATAATGCTGATAATTTATTGGAAGATGGTGTGCCAGGCGTGAAGAAAGAGGTCATAGGACTTTTGAAAGAAATGCTCAGGCGAAGTAAGGCAACCATATTTGCTCTAACCACGAGAGAGTCCCTACGTTTTCTGAATGTGGATTTGCAAGGTCACGAGAGTGTAAGAATCAGACCGTTGGATGAAGACTCTGCAAAGACTTTAGTAAAAGCCCTTCTTCCAACCGCAACTCCTTCAGATTGTACCCGAATCCTGCAAATCTGTGGATTTGTACCCTTTGCAATAAAGTTATTGTGTTCCTCAATTTCTGAAGGTGAGGCTGAACCAAGCCAGTACCTCGATGAATTCATGCAGTTTGCCTCCACAGCAAGTATCGCCGAGATGTTAGACAGGCCAGATTACCCAGACGAGTACAGATTACAGTCTCTTTTTGAGTTATCTTTTAAGAGGTTAACTGCACAAGAGGAAAAAGCACTAGTTTCATTGAGTATTCTTCCAGAGAATTTTGGTACGGAGATCACTGCTGCTGTTTTAGACGAAAGCAATTTTCAGGCCAAGAAGTTATTGCTGAGCCTTCGGAGAAAGTCCCTTATCGATTCAGGTGAGAAACAGGAGTCATTTACGATGCACAAGCTGCTACAATCATTTGCAAGAGAAAAAGGAGAAAACGAAATGAAAGACACGATCCTTAAATCAAAGGACCGATTGAACGCATTTTACGTGTCACTTTTTCACAAGCTAAATGAGCAGTTTCTCACTGGTCATTCAATGACGGCGTTTCTTCAATTCTATGAAGATGAGCGAAGTATTATTCAAAGCCTTTTATATACGCTTGCGGATGCGAAGACAGCTGGCACTGTTTTTGATGTGTTAGCTAGGGGAGAGTTGTTTCTTGATACTCTCTTTTTAAAAGAAGGATCAACCTTTTACCTGATATACGATTCGGCAATAGAGGCTGCGAAGAGGTTTGAGAGAACCGAATCTTACAGTCGATTACTTGTTTCAAAGGCGTTTGGAGAAGCATATTGGGGTGCAAAGGGAAGTACGGTGCAGTTGCTTTGTAGAGCAAAGGAAGCTGAAGCTTCACAGCCTCCAATTTCCATGTCAGAACTACAGGGAAAACGTCTGTGTTATTTAGGTCTCACTCACCTTGTTAACGGCAATACTGAAGATGGAATTCGGAATTTGAAAGACGCTCTTCAGATGTTGAGTGGAAGTCCAGATCAGAAAAATCTTACACTTATTACTCTTCAAATTCTTGCAATGTTTTGCCGATTTCAAAACACTTCAAAGGAATTAAATGAATTACTTTGCAATGCATCGGGAGATAAAGACCAACTGCTGGTGTTATCTTTAAAACAAGGGGAGGGAAGGTGGAAACTTAGCAATCTGGCAGAAAATCAAAGAGGCGTTATCGGCGTTTCTGATCACCCCTTAAAACTGGCAATGATAAATATTGTAAGCCAGACAACGCAAAATTTCATTGATGGTGACACTAAACAATGTCTTACAAATATTTTACATGAAATGCTGAACGAGATCGAAAGAGAGGAGCATATCTCCACAGGTGTCTGTAAATTTCATTGGCTTCTTCTGTCTGTTTTAGCTCAAATGGAAGACACCACATTACAGTGTCAAATGAGAATTAGTTTCCATCAAAAAGCGCTGGATCGGTGTTGTGAAAACAATCCCTTCTACCGGTTACACAACGAGGCACTTGCAGCGTGCTACGAAGTCCTTGGAAACACTCAGCATTCATCTGGAGACTTCAACGCAGCACTAGATTCTAGACAGCATGCACTTGACATCCGCCTTAAACTGTTTGGAGAAGAACATGCAAACACTGCCAATAGTTATCATAACCTTGGAACCACTCAACATTCACTTGGAAACTTCAACGCGGCACTAGATTCTAAACAGCATGCACTTGACATCTGCCTTAAACTGTTTGGAGAAGAACACGCAAGCACTGCCAATAGTTATCATAACCTTGGAGCTACTCAACATTCACTTGGAAACTTCAACGCAGCACTAGATTCTGAACAGCATGCACTTGACATCCGCCTTAAACTGTTTGGAGAAGAACACGCAAACACTGCTAATAGTTATCATAGCCTTGGCATCACTCAACATTCACTTGGAGACTTCAACACAGCATTAGATTCTGAACAGCATGCACTTGACATCCGCCTTAAACTGTTTGGAGAAGAACACGCAGACACTACTAATAGTTATCATAGCCTTGGCATCACTCAACATTCACTTAGAGAGTTCAACGCAGCACTAGATTCTAAACAGCATGCACTTGACATCCGCCTTAGACTGTTTGGAGAAGAACACGCAGACACTGCTAAAAGTTATCATAGCCTCGGCATCACTCAACATTCACTTAGAGACTTCAACGCAGCACTAGATTCTAAACAGCATGCACTTGACATCCGCCTTAAACTGTTTGGAAGACACGTATGTACTTCTGATAGTTTTCTGAGCCTTATCACCACGCAGTTTTCACTCACCAACGCCGCTCTAGATTCTTTTTTTACGGCACACAGGTAAATCCACCTTTTAAAATATGTTTGGAGAGAACAAGAGAGCAGTGCTTGTAGTTGTGAGTCCGTTGCCATAACTTAACTCTTTCTTGATGATTGGAAGAAAGCAATAGAGTCAGCATAACATGCACCTCACATCGAGATTAAACTAGAAACAGGGAACGCATCTTCTGACTAAAGTGGAAGCTATGGATTTGTTTATTTTTTATTACACGGAAGATCTAAAGATAAACAACAGACTTTGTTGGTGAGCCGCTGACGCTCACCTACAATGTAGTCTTGCAGGGTCCGGAAGGGGGTTCCTATTCGCGCATTCTCGCTCCTTTTTCCTCACGACAATCCTGCATCTTGAAGTTATGTCACTTCAATCCCGAACACCGTTTTCCCTTCCCCAATACCGCATCCCGTGCCAAGCCTTTAGCGAAGCCCCCTTGACGAGTAACGGTCAAATCCCGTATCCCGTCAAGATATTTTGCGTTTTCTCGAATCCCACACTGTATTTCGGATCCCGAGAGAATACCCTTTCTGACCCTGGTGTTAGTGTCTTTGTGACAACGTGACAACTCTCTTCTGAAATCAGCAGTCAGCATTAGGTTTGATACACGAAAAACATATGCTTTTAGAGCGATTATGACTTTCTACGAAACATATCCTGGGCTGTTCCTTCCTGCATTTGAGCTGTTATTAAGAAAGATAGGGCAGAATTGACATTTAAGCTGCAAAGGACCGCAAACGAATATGCCGCAAAACGTAGGATCTATAGAAGACCTGATCAGCAAACTCATATGCATTAAGTAGACACGCTGAATTCTGAAAAGCTGATCGTACTACGTGAAAATTTACTTTGCAAGACATCAACATGACACCGAAAGAACCCAAAACAGAGCGGGGTCGTAGCTGTAGACAGCTGTTTCGCCATAGGGCAGAATGTCTTCACTTACCGTAAATCCTCTACTAAGTTCCCGGTGGGGCTTATTTATTTCAAGCTCATTTGAGGGGGCCTTATTTAATTTAGAAAAGAGGATGGTATCTCCAGAAAGAACTAGAATACAAAGTGGAAAAGCTCAAGTACATGCAGCTGAGGATCAGGATCAAAACCGAACTTCCAGTTGGTAAATAAACCACCCCGGAGATAATCTCAGTCCACACGAAGTCGTGATTAGTTAATAGAGTCTATCATTTATTAGTGGAGAATAATTAGGGGAGGCGGGCGGGGGCTTATTAACTTTCTTCCACTGAAAAGAGGGCCCTTATTAGAGGGAGAGGGCTTATTTGAGAGCGGGGGGGGCTAATAGAGGATTTACGGTAGTTATTCATTTAATGAATTTTCGTTCTTCGACGGGTCACCTTGAGTTTGAGTTTCTTTTTAACTATTTAAAATATCGATAGGGATCAGAACTGTCAGGCATTAGACCCATTAAAACATCCTGCCGATTTTCACGTAGGCCAAGAACGTGAGAGGGGTCAAAGGAAAGGTCTGCAGCATGCGAATATCTTAAGCCGGCTCTTCGCGTGTCGAAAACTGGTTTCGAGAAAAAAACAACTGACTGTTTTGCAGTCCAGTTAGGTGGAAAAATTGAAGAAAATGCCGAGAAATGAAAATGGACTAGAGCCCGGCAACAACATCTATGCGTTTTGGACACATTTGACTGGGGTTTCAATTCCGCAATCCCGACACAATTTTGTACAATCTCGTAAACCCGAGGGTTAATTTTGGTATTCCACCTCCCGCGCATACTTTCAATTCCGAATTTTCTTTCAAATCCCGAATCCCCAGCTTCGAATAACGGAGATCCCGGATCCCGAAAAACCTATTGGCCACCCCAACTAGCCGGGTCAACTTTTCTCCGTATAAACACCTTGGCTTGCCCAGCCAGGTCAACTCAGTACAGTCAAGGCAAGACAATCAGAGCATACGCAAGAGCTGTTAGCTAGGGCAAAAGGGTCAACGTTTTTCTCATATTAACCCCTGCAAAAAATGGCACGGTCTGGAGGGTGATGGGCCTAACTCTTCTGTACATAAACGGCGCCTGAGTGGTTCTACGAGCGGTCACGATGAGAGTATCTTGCCCGCTCGGGGTTACCCGCTTTGGTTGCGCAGGAGAAAGGGAGTTCTCTTTTTGATCTCATAATAAATCATTTATAATTGACCAAGCTTCTTCAGTCAAGATGTCTGCGTATTAGCTCCCTTCTCTTTTGTGGTCATAATACGCAAAAGAGGAACTTGGTCAATATCCAGTCATCTTGACCGAACAAGCTTGTTCAATTATAAATGATTATTATCTTATTATAAAGTTTAAAGTTCATAGACCGAGACGAATAAGTCGAGGACAATAAATCTGCGGAAAAAAAAACGAGGTCGATATCCAGCCGTGTTTACCTGACGCTTGGTCAATAATTCATATATCTTGACCGAACAAGTTTAGTCAATGAAGGATTTGTTATATGGTTAAAACAACTCGAGCAGTGGTGGATCCAGACCTTCAGATAAGGGGGAGGGGGGGGGGGAGTCATCCAGACGGCCCGAGATAAAGCGGGGGGGAGTGGTCTAAAGAATTTTTTAATAATCTTTTTCGATTGGGAAGCTTGACGTCCTATGTAGCCTGCATAACAGGCGCTTTATGAGAGAGGCGAGTCTAACACGGCATTTTACGCGAACCGCGAGATGAGGGAGGAGACAAACATTGTTTGCTTCTCTCCCTTCTCGCGCTTCAGGCAAAATGCCGCGTTCGCCTCGCTTGGCTCATAAAGCGCATGTTATGGATGCTAAACTAGTTTCATAGTTTTCAATTATACTTTTAGTGCTTTTCTGTTGCAAAAATTTTCCGTTTAAGCAAATGTTTGGTAATTTTTGTAATGCCCTCCTTGTTTTGTATGGTCTGGACAAGCCAAGCTTTACGGCGAAATTAAGAAAGAAAATCGCTTTGAAGAGTAAGCAGTTCGAAAGTTAAATGCAGTTGAGTCTGTTCTAACCAATTGCAGAGGACCTACGTAAGGATTGATTTTCTCAAAGCAGGTGGGTTTTCTAGTCAATATAAAATTGAAGGAAGTGTCAAGTCTAGTCATTAATCGGAAAGAATTATTTGCTGGTGAGTAGTAAAAATCGTAACGAATAAAAGCGTTCAAAGAAAACAAAAGCCTCATCCTTTTGTTGAATAACTTGCTACTTCCCCTAAAAAGTTGTTCAACACAGGATAGCCAGTTAGAACACAGGATGTACGCAGGATGTTTCCCGCTCGCGGGAGCGAGTCTTACAATAAATAGGCCAGATGACAAGATGAGGAGATACCGCAAAGGAGCTATCCTTGTTATACAGGGATTAGCGGCGGCATGAGCGTAGCCGTCATTACCGTGTTATTAGGGTAAAAAACTTTTCCCACTTTTCAAAAAGTTCAAACATCTATACATGTCATCAAGGTAGTGTCCCCTCTTAAGGAATAACCATAAGTCTTAAGACATTTTTCGCCCAAAGGAAGTGTCATGTGACCTTCAGGACAAGCTCAGCTCAGCTCACGTGAAGACTGTGCAAATCGCGGCTCACGAGGACGCCTCCCGCCTTCTTGATTGAGAAGACGATGCGCAATCGTCAATCACTATTCTGAAATGATGGGCTTTGTGGAGCGTAGTTTAGAAGTACTGTTCCAGACGCAAACGTCGAAAAACCGTACATTACAAAAGGAGGAAATTCATGTGAATGTAAGTCCGGCGGTGGGGGGGTGGGGCGGCTGGTCATAATTTTTAAGTGACCAGGAGGGTTCAGAGCTAACTAGCCTTACTTGGCAGGGGGCGTTACATTACTCTATGTGAGGCCCATTTTTCAACCCCCGCCTCCTCATAATTATTGCACAGTCTCTAACTTTAGGTTCACTTCTACGCGTTCTTTGTTTCACTGTTAGGTACTAGTTTATTTTTTTTCTTCCTTCTTGTTTCTATAGTACCTCATTTTAGTTCTTTAAGTATGTCTGAAAAATTGCCGGGCTGTTCAAATTAAATTAGAGCTTGTCAAACTAATTTATTTTATCACCTAATTTTGAATCCGGGCTTGATTTCCTTCAAGTTCAAACTGAGAAAGGACAACTAACCGTCCCGTCTTCGTGCGCACTTTAAAGCGAGAATTTTATCGTCTGACATCACCGTTAATTTATAGAAATGGCAGACAGTTGGACCAACTTAAACACCGTATGTGCCGAGGCAATTAAGCCTTATTGTTTAACGGAGTTCTCACTGAGGTGGCGTTGTAGGTGCGTGAGAAGTATGGAGAAAACACGGAGCGGGAGAAGCGAGTGGGCACCAGAAGCGCGAGCCGCTCGATTCAACACCTTTCCCTTCTCTTCCCATCGTTTGCTCCCACGAGGGCTGAAGGTGTAAGAGAGCTTGAACCAACAACAGCGCTCTGGGCAGGCTAAAAGACAATTTCTACATTAGCGTGCCCGTAACTGAAATCCTTGGTTTGTGTGGTCCGGGAGCATAGAGAAGTTTTCTTGCTTCTGGTCTCCGTCTTGACTTCCGGGTTCTCCACACAAAAACAACAACAATCACCACAACAGCTGTTAAACACACAGCTAACGCTACAGCGGCGGCAGGAGGGAAGTCATCTGAGGCGGAGTCCTGATCATCGTCACTGATCAGTTCACTCATAACAGTGTTACTGTTTGTTTTGGTGAATAAGTAGGGGGTTTCCTGAAGCCAAAAAAATAATAAAAAATATTAGTCAACCCTATGCCATGGACAGAACCAAGGCCCGTATTAAAGAAATGTTCGTTATGTTGGCATCTCTGACACCAATACAGTAATAAGCTGTAAGGAGAGGGGTCGGCATTAAAGTCACTCACTGGTCTGGGGTACTCCTTAAAGGTCTCGCTTGAGACATTTACGTCACATTCAACGATGTATCGAAAAAAATGACAAATTTTTATGGAATACTTTTTAGAACAAACATAATTGGTTTGACAAGGCAGTTAACATAAACATTTGGAAGTGCCGGCTTTTATAGTGGAGAGGTAGACG